AGAGCTGGGAGGAGGACTTCCAAAGAGTGACTCATGCAGAAATAGAGAGTGGGAGGGGGCTGGGCCTGAAACATGGCTGGGGGACGCTGTGGTAATAATCCTATCTAGAAAGGAGGCGGATCCACAGGTGTCCAGCTGGAGGCTGGACCTGGCGATTGCCGAGGACGGTCCATCAGTGACAGGCAGAGTGGCCCTGAAGGCCAGATACCCCGGCCCCTCAAGCCCACAAGCCCACGGCATTCTCTCCCTTCCCGTTGCTTAGATACGAGGAGGAGCTCTCTCTGCGGCCCTGTGCTGAGAATGAGTTTGTTGCCCTGAAGAAGGTAAGACAAGATGGGCAGGGAGGCAGAGGGTGAGCTGACCCAACCAGCCTCAGGACATCCGGCCCAAAGGCGTCTGTAGCCTGCCCACCCACCCCCTGGCTCCTGTGCCAGGCCTGTCAGCCATGGGAAAGAGGAGGCCCGGCCTCCTCTCACTCTGCGCCCTCTTGCGAAAAGGCAACGATTTACCGGGCCTCCACCTCCAACTCGTGCAGGCCAGAACTGGGTAGCATCATGTCTGCTCCTGCCCTGGCAGCTGCAGACATGGAAAATGCCAATCCAAAACAAAACATGAACTCTGACCCAAGTCCCCATCCCAAAGAGGAAAACAGTGACCATGGTTCCTCAGACAGGTGGCCAGGTTATTTCCAGACCCAAATCCACAAAGTGAGCCCTGAGAAATCCCATTCAAGGCTCCTTCAAACCCTGCTCCATTCAGACCCCTCTCCATGAGGGTGCTGGGTCCAGGTATGCGGTCCCAGGGCTGGGGACCCCTCTCTTCCACCTTAGCTCCATCACCTATTCACTTCACATGGGCCTCAGGGAGGAGAGGTGGGCCCCATGCTTGCCACCTGCTGACTGCTTGCCCGGGAGGTGGCCCCACTGGTGGAGGGGATGGCCCTTGCATGGCCCCCAGCCCTGGGATACGGTTCTGCTGCAGGACGTGGACACAGCCTTTCTGATGAAGGCTGACCTGGAGACCAATGCGGAGGCTCTAGCCCAGGAGATCGACTTCCTGAGAGGCCTGTATGAGGAGGTACCTGTGGCCACACTGCCCTCAGAGGGTCATTCAAGGGCAGTTCCTAGGAAGCAGTGGGCAGGAAAGTGTCTGCTGGGGAGGGAGGACAACTTATGAAGACATCGCATGGGTCAGAGGGCTCTCAGGCAGCGAGACTCTCAGAAGTCAGATGGTCAGATCTGTGGCTTGCAGGCCCCTCTGGGAGAGCTTCCCAGGGCTCTGGGTAGGGAGAGGGTGTAACAAAGAGCAAGCTGATATCTGGAGGTCCAGACTAGCTCCAGCAGAGTCCTGTACAAATCTGCTGCTCTGCCATGGGAAGATTATCCCTGTCTCCTGCTCCTGGACCCTCAGAGAGCTCACTCCTCCTCACCTGAGCCCCTTCCCCAGGAGATCTGCCTGCTCCAGTCTCAGATCTCTGAGACCTCGGTCATCGTGAAGATGGACAACAGCCGGGAGCTGGACGTGGATGGCATCATTGCTGAGATCAAGGCCCAGTATGATGACATCGCCAGCCGCAGCAAAGCTGAAGCAGAGGCCTGGTACCAGTGCCGGGTAAGGCTGGGGAGCAGGGGGTGGGGACAGGGAGGACAGAAAGGAGGACTTTCTTTCCCTGGAAGAGGGTGAGGAGCTAATGAGGGCTGTGTCACACCACAGTGACAGGGAACCCCATACACCCAGCCCCTGTCGTTTCTGCCAGGTGCCAGGCCATGACCTGCAGATCCCATGTGAGGGATCTCACAGAAAGCCCAGGCCTATCATCAGGGTGCCGGGGTGCCCGTCTTTATTTACTTGCAGACGCACCGGAAATGCTCTCTAAGCAGCATTCAATAAATACTAATTGGTGATGATGAGAAAGAGGGTGCTTCAGGCGTGGGAGGAGGCTGATGGCATGGGTGATTACTAATGGCGGAGCAGAAACAGTCATTAAGGTGGCCAGACTTACTAATTAGGGGCTTGCTGGGAAGGCAGGAGGCACAACTTGATTTAAGAAACATCGTCTCTGTCTTGCTTGCCCCGTCTGTGAATGACACCCTGCATGCACTTACTCATTAGTCTGGACACTGGCCGACTGTTTATTGAACGCCTATCTTATGCCACGCATGATTCCAGAAGCTGGAGATCCAGCCGGGAGTGGAGCAGACAGCAATCCCTGCCTTCTTGTCACTTGCACTCTAGAGACAGGAGCAGTGGGCACAGACGGTAGACAGGACAAACACATAAGGTAGATGTATGTTGGATAGTAGTGTGTATTATGGAGAAAATAAGCCAGGGTGAAGGGCAGGAGGCGTGTGAGAGTGTGCCTTTAAATAGAGTAGTCTGGACGGGCAACCTTATGGAAATGTGTGGTACCAAGAAGGTCATGAGAGTTTGACCATTTCTGTCCTCAAGGGGGTTATAGTCTTTGGAGACAGAAGTATGAACCAACCAAACCAAAAGACAGGGCAGCATGGAGGGTCTGGAAGGGACATGGAGGGCCTCCACTGAAGTGCAGCTGCAGGTTAAGAGAGTGTGATGACAGAAGCAGCAAACTGGGTCTGGAGAGACGGAGGTGTTGTCATCTGATCTGGTCTGGAAAGATGAGTTAGGTTGTGAGATGCAGAGACTGGGGGGAAAGCCTTCCAGGCTGAGGAGCAACAGGAGCCAGGACACAGAGGCTTGAGAGTGAGGTGCGTGGTGTGTGATGTGCAAAGGAGGAGGGGGCTGGACCACAGCACATCTGCAGAGCTGGGCTACATACCTGGAACTTTCCCTTCCTTCCTTCCTTCCTTCCTTCCTTTATTCCTTCTTTCTTCCTTGTTCGTTCGTTCGTTCTTTCTCTTTCTTTCTTTCTTTCTTTCTTTCTTCCTTTCTTTCTTTCTTTTTTCTTTCATTCTTTCTTTCTCCCTTCCTTCTTTCTTCCTTGTTCTTTCTTTCTTTCTTTCTTTCTTCCTTTCTTTCTTTCTTTTTTCTTTCATTCTTTCTTTCTCCCTTCCTTCTTTCTTCCTTGTTCTTTCTTTCTCTTTCTTTCTTTTTCTTTCTTTCTTTCTTTCTTTCTCTTTCTTTCTTTTTCTTTCTTTCTTTCTTTCTTTCTTTCTTTCTTTCTTTCTTTCTTTCTTTCTTTCTTTCTTTCTTTCTTTCTTTCTTTCTTTCATAGAGATTTTTGCTGTAGGGCATGTGCACTTGCCGGAGAGACATAGAGAGAAAGAAAGTGAGAAATCACTCCCTCCCCCAGGGGGATGGCCATACAGCAATACCTTCTTCTCCATTCTCCTCTCGGAATTTTGGGCACACACGCACACACGCCTGGTGTGAGTTTAAGACACCGGGTCCAGGACTCAAAATGTGGCCAACTACATGTTGAGTCCAGCAACATAACCATTACCCCATTTGGTGGTCCAATTGAGACTTTTTCTAAAGGCCACTACTCAGGAGTGCTTCCAGACAATACTCTGTTCATTTCCTGGAGTTCCATGGTGATCGGTGACTCGGTGATTCAGCTCCCAGTGACTTGGTCTATGGCCCTTCCATGGCCAGGTTTCACGCTGGCTCTTCCCTCCTTTGATTGCCCCAGGGTCACCCACCAGTCAGGTGGGCTTGGGGAATGGAATCCCATGATCTGATCCCGTCCTCTAAAATCAGAACCATAAAGACAAGTCTACTAGTTAAAGGTTGTATTTAGCTATGAGGATTACAATTTTTAAAGCAAAACTATTCAAACAAATTCAGGGCTTTTTTTTTTTTTTTTTTTTTTTTCAGATAGCTTGAAGTACAAAAACAGATTGCCCAAGAAAACATGGGAATTCTATGATACCATCAGGGACCAGAATCCTCCAGCTTTCTATTCTGCCATCTGTAATACATGTTTTCATCCTCATAGTTCCCTCATGTCCCAAGATAGCTGCAATACTTCCAATAACACATGCTCATGCCAAAGAACGGAGGGGGAAAAACATGCCACTGCATGATTTCCCACTTGAAAGAGCTTTCCTAGAAGCTTTACTAGCAATAGATATGGCTCTCATTGATTAGAAGGCTGGGAAATATTCTCTCATAGGAGCTCATTGACACCCCACCCCCAAAAATATTAACGCCAGTTCTGTTTGAACAAGAAGAGTAGAGTGAATATTTATTAGGCAACTGCAGGTTTTCCCACAGTAAACAAATAATGAATGAGCCAAAGAGAGTGATTTTGTGCTTATCTCTTGTTTCATAGTTTCTGTGCAAGATGCTCTCATCCATTATCAGAGAATCTAAAGTTGGCTTATTTTTAAGAATCTATCAATGTAATCTGTTACTATGCAGAAATTGGATTCAGAGTGCAAAGTTGTTTTTTTTTAAAAGTGTTATGCTGGGGCCAGCAGGTGGTGGTGTGGCTGAAGCACTGGACTCACACATGGCAAAGTGTAGTTCAAGTCCCAGACCTGGTAGCTTGCTCTCTCTCTCTCTCTTTCATGAGTGCACATGTCCTATAGTGAAAATAATAATAATAATAATACTTTTTAAAAAGTGTTAAACCAGAGTAACATTACATCTTATTTTCAATTGTTTTGAGGGGAAACATTCAAATTTGTAAATCCTGATGAGCAACCATGGTCTGACGTCAGCCCTTACACATTGTGCATCTCAGGTTGAGCCCAGAAAATCCTCCCAAGGTCCAAAGGGACATCCATAATGGAGAGAGCCCTTGGGAGACCTCTGATTCTGGGGTAGAGAGAACAGAACAGAACAGCTAAATGGAGAGAAGGGGATCTTGAAGCTTGGAGGAGAATTTAACAAGCCTGCAGGTTTAGGGCTGGGGGCTAAGAAGCAGCCCACATAAGAACCCCCAAACTATCTAGAAGTAGGAGAGGGACGGGAAGCAGAACAAGAATAAGAATCAGAGAGCATCCTAGCCAGGAATTCACTGGAGAAAAGAAGGGGAACAGCAAGAAAAGGGGCTAGGAGATGCCAGAGTATGAGGTCGAGAGATCTAACTTCTCTGTCCTGGCAGTATGAGGAGCTGAGGATGACCGCCGGGAACCACTGTGACAACCTCCGCAACCGCAAGAATGAGATCCTGGAAATGAACAAGCTGATCCAGCGGCTGCAGCAAGACACTGAGAACGTCAAAGCCCAGGTGAGGCTGGGGAAGCACTCCTGGCTAGGAGAGCCCATCAAAGGTTGACTCACCACCTAGAGCATGCAGAGAGGGAGCGTCTTCCCTGTGAGCACCGTGAGCGCTGCAGAAGAGGAAACAAGCCCTTTCCACAGAGCTAACCAACAGTGTGTGTGTGTGTGGGGGGGGAGGGTAGGGGAGCAGCCTCAGGAAGTAGGTCCTCAATGGGGGTCTAAAAAGATGTTCTCCACGGTCCTTTCAAACCCAAAGCCTGTAACTCCATGATCCTGAAATTCAAGGTGACTGGGTCTTTTATAAAGTCAGACCCACTCTGTTTGTCTAGGCTAGTGAAGACTAGCCAGGCACTTCAGCACTGCTAGCCTCAAAGAAATCGCCCAACATAGATGAGAGGAAAATCTCAGATCTCCTTGGGATTTTTTTTTTCTTTTCTTTCATAAAGTTTATTTCTTCCATGAGAGAGAGAGAGAGACAGTTAATTTCCAATAGGGCCTTCACACCATGACCTACGCCTGCCTCGGCCAGCCAGGATGACAGGCACATGGGTGTGTGTGTGCACCTGGTGTGTACAGGGACCTCGGGATGCTAACCCAGGACTACCCATATGACTTCAGAAAGGCAGAGCAGGACCAGCAGTTAGCGTAATGGCTAGGTCACTGGACTTCCATGTAGTCGACTGTGGTTCAAGTCGCAGACCTGGTGGCTTAAACTCACACTGGGCATGTGTGTGTGTGTGCCCAATATCCCGAGAGGAGAAAGGAGGAGAAGGGATTGTGGCGTGACCATTCCCCCTGGGGGGTGATTTCTTGCTTTCTATCTCTCTGTCTCTTTCTGTCTTTCCAACAAGCGCATGTGCCCTATAGCAAAAAACTCTTAAAAAAGAAAAGAAAAAGGCAGGGCAAAGCATTGTGTTACTGCTACACCAGCATCTGGCCCCAACCTGGAGGTGTCTGAGACAGAAAACATCCTAGGGTGAAACCCACAGCAGACTTGAACCTGGATGTAATCCCTGTGCTTGCTCTGATCTACAAGTCAGGCTCAGGTTCCAGGGACCCCTTGGTGCCTTTCTGTGTCCTCTCTTCTAGCGTTGCAAACTGGAGAGTGCCATAGCTGAGGCGGAGCAGCAGGGCGAGGTGGCCCTCAGCGATGCCAAGTGCAAACTGATGGGGCTGGAAGAGGCCCTGCAGAAGGCCAAGCAGGACATGGCCTGCCTGCTCAAGGAGTACCAGGAGGTGATGAACTCCAAGCTGGGCCTGGACATCGAGATCGCCACCTACAGGCGCCTGCTGGAGGGCGAGGAGCACAGGTGAGCTCCCTAAGGAAGAACTGGTGAAGGATAAGTGTTTATAATCAGCCCTCCGTATCTTTGGAGTCTATATCAAAGGATTCGAGAAACCTCTCATCAGAAATATTTTTTAAAAAAGTAAAAAGCAGTACAACAATATAAAGTAACACTTTTTTTAATCCAGAGTAACAACTACTTACTTCTACGGCATTTACATTGAATTAGGTATTATAAGTAAAAATGACTTAAAATTTGAGAGAACACATATAGGTTATATTTACATTTTAAGAGTATACCATTTTATATATGGGACTTGAGCATCCACAGATTTTGATATCTGCTGAGGGATCCTAGAACTAATATCCGCAGATACCAAGGGACAACTATTATCACGCACTTGTAATCCCTGTGCTTGCTCTGATCTACAAGTCAGGCTCAGGTTCCAGGGACCCCTTGGTGCCTTTCTGTGTCCTCTCTTCTAGCGTTGCAAACTGGAGAGTGCCATAGCTGAGGCGGAGCAGCAGGGCGAGGTGGCCCTCAGCGATGCCAAGTGCAAACTGATGGGGCTGGAAGAGGCCCTGCAGAAGGCCAAGCAGGACATGGCCTGCCTGCTCAAGGAGTACCAGGAGGTGATGAACTCCAAGCTGGGCCTGGACATCGAGATCGCCACCTACAGGCGCCTGCTGGAGGGCGAGGAGCACAGGTGAGCTCCCTAAGGAAGAACTGGTGAAGGATAAGTGTTTATAATCAGCCCTCCGTATCTTTGGAGTCTATATCAAAGGATTCGAGAAACCTCTCATCAGAAATATTTTTTAAAAAAGTAAAAAGCAGTACAACAATATAAAGTAACACTTTTTTTAATCCAGAGTAACAACTACTTACTTCTACGGCATTTACATTGAATTAGGTATTATAAGTAAAAATGACTTAAAATTTGAGAGAACACATATAGGTTATATTTACATTTTAAGAGTATACCATTTTATATATGGGACTTGAGCATCCACAGATTTTGATATCTGCTGAGGGATCCTAGAACTAATATCCGCAGATACCAAGGGACAACTATTATCCAGCCCTGGGGGGGGGGGGCTGCTGCGGCTATTTCCCATTCCATAGTGATTAAAAATCGAAAGAGCATGCAGTCCTTGAGCCCTCATCCCTGACTTAGTCTGCAGTGAGGGCAGGAAGGGGGAGATGCCGCTCTGTACCGCTGTGCTCCCTGCTGCAGCTACCTTGTCTTCTTTCTCTTCTTATCCCCAGGCTGTGTGAAGGCATCGGGCCCGTGAATATCTGTAAGTAGCCAAGCCAGGCCCCAGGGGCTCTGGACTCCAACACAGACACCCACAGCCCCTTCCCAGACCCTCATGCCTCCCCGGCCCCAGAGGAAGAGCTCTGTCGGCCACAAGCTCCTGGGCTGTTGAAGCCCTCCCCGCAAAGCTGCCCATATGTTCTGGGAGTTGGAACTAGGGTAGACAGGCACAGAGCTTTGGGGCCCAGAGCCATAAGGCATCGTACTGACAAAAGAAGGCTGTTCTAGAGGAAGAGGATTTGAAGCTGGCTAAGGAGGAGGGACAAGACAAGTAGAAACTGAGAGAGTGTGAAGCTGGTGTCAGCCTGGCCTGGCCAAGGCTTGGGAAAGAGGAGAGGCAGGTCGGGGACTTTGGAACAGATGACGTGGCTTAGGTGACTTCTTAGCAGATGACATGGAAGTGGGAGGCTGGGATGGGTGTCCTTAGAGGCATGGCAGCGAGTGGGAGGAGTGGTCTGGCTGAGACCTTTCAGGATAACACCCTCGAACCACACTGTGCAGGGCCCTGAGCCTCCCTTCTTGTTCCCACAGCCGTGAGCAGCTCCAAAGGCGCCGTCCTGTATGAGCCCTGTGTGGTCAGTGCACCCGTGTTGAGGGGCGAGTGCTGCTCAGGGGGCACCAGCATCCTCAAGAACAGCGGGGCCTGCAGCATTGTGGGCACCGGTGAAGTCTACATCCCCTGCGAGCCCCAGCGACTACTGGGCTGTGGCAGTAGGCAGAGCCTGGGCTCGAAGTCAGCAGCTGGGGGCAGCTCAACCAGCCCCAAGAGTTAACACTGCCCTCTGGGGGCAGGGCCTCAGCCCTGGGTGCTGCATCCCCACCAGGGTTGAAGATGAGGATAGTTCAAACCTTCCTTCTTGTACTGACTCCACATTCCCCCGGGAGATGAGTTGCCCTCAGGCTTCCTGATCTTCAAGAGCACTTTTCACTTAGCCGTGTGCAGACCCTGAGGTAGGCCCTGACCCCTGGACTGTGATAGTCAGGCCCTCATGTGGCCAAGAGAACGGCCCAACCATTCCATTCCAGGTGGGGAGGCTGGATGGGCAAGTCACAACCAGATTTGTGGACTATCCCGTGGAAGGTTTCCCCACAAAGCCAACTCTTCCCCCTCACACCTCCAGAGCTCCCCACTTCCCTACCTCTGGCTCTCACACACCTAAGGAAAGTGAACTTCCAACACTTAAACAGGCAGTATTGCAAATATGGAAAAGGAACACCCCCAAATCCCATTCTGAATTCCAAAGCCAAGGACCAAGATTTCAGGATCCCTCAGGCCCTGCCAACATACTCAACACAGAGAATCAGCCCAGAGAATCGCCTTTGGACAGTACATTTACTTGCTCAGTGTGCTGAATTCAAACTATGAAAGTAAGTCTTTTTTCCTGAGCTCCCATAGGCAGTGAAACGCCTAGAACAAAGGGCAAGTGTACATGGACTGTTTACAGGACAGATGGATAGTCGAGAACTGCCATTATTTGCTGAATGGGGTCAAGCCCCACTCCACCCCACTTCTGTACATAGTTGCCCCTCTCGCCCCTGCTCCGCTCCTTCTGTTCCTCTGGCTTTGGACCTGATCTGAACCGGGTCTCCCAGCTACTCTGGTGTAGGGCCGCCCCAGCCAGCTTCAAGGCTGGCAGCTCAAATGCCGAGGGAGGGAGGAGTTGCTGGGCTGACTCCACCTCCCAGGTGCCTCCTACCCAGCCCAGCCCAACCAGGGATCCAAGGTCTTTGCTTCTTCTGTTTCCAATAAACTGCTGCAGACTAAGGGAATCAAAATTATTCACTCTGCTCTTTGGGGTGCAAAAAGGGTGGGGGTGGTGAGGGTGGGATCAACTACGGGCAGACTTTGGGGACTGAAGGCTTGGGAATGGAAAGGAAGTTTATTATGTAAGTGGAAAAACTACCTGATAATGACTTGCAAGTGGCCTGTGGAATGAACATGCTCCACAGCAATCACTTAAAAGCTACACATCACACTCCAGCAGTTTGCAAGTCCCTTGCCACATTAAAAACCACACACCTACTGCACGTTGGCCTCCCCGCTACTTGGTGCCCTGCATATTTCTAGAGAAAAATCCTTAGGCCCTCCATCCTGGCCCACTGTCAGTGCCTACACAGCCCCAGTCCGGGGAAAGCATGGAGACGAGCTGCAGCCCATTGTGGGGGGAGGACCAGGACTGTCCTGTATCCTCTCCCCACCAGAGAGCCCCAAGACTAGTAGACAAGGTTGGTGGCAGCAGTTCCACGCTTCCCTGTTGCCTCACTCATCCCTGAAGCAGCCACTCCTCAGGGGCTCTGTCTCCCTCGTGGCTCCCCGCTGCTGAGAGTCACAGTGATGCCCCACCTCAGCTTTCCCACACGGGCCACGATCCTGTGCCAAGGCCTGCATTAAAGGCTGATGATACAGAGATGACAAAGACGCCCTCATAACCCTGGGGGGACTCAGCCTCGCAGAGGAGTCATAAATGATGATGCCAAGGAGTATGAGAACAGCAAGAAGAAGCAACTAGTGACCGTGCTTGGAAAGGGGGTCAGAGGGAGGTTCAGGAGAAGATGACCCCACAGAGTCTGCAGAGAAGTCTAGCATTACAGATGGGAGGGTAGCATGTTCAAAAGAACCCATTCATCCACAGTTTTATTCATTTGATGTTTATTTTCAAGCACTTGCCATGGGTCAGGTGGTGAATGGCATGGGGAGAACAAGACACCCCCTGGCAGGGCTGGCCTACCCAGCAGGCACCGTAGACACGGCATCTAGGCCCACGACAAGGACGTAGAATGGAGCAGCCTCCAAAAAAGTCCAGCAGTTCCTCCACACACTAAATATAATGTTATCGCTGACTCTACTCTGAGTATATACCCAAGAGAAATGAAGACGTAGATCTACACAAAAACCTGCACACGGATATGTGTTACAATATTGTTCGAAAAAGCCAAAACCTGGGAACAGCCTGCCCATCTTAGTGTCCACCAACAAACCAACGAAACAGACAAGCAAAAGGTGGCCTATCCATACAATGGAGTATGATATGCCCGTGAAGAGAAATGGATACTGACATGTGCTACAACACGGAAGAACCTTGAAATTAGGCCAACTGAAGGATCCAGTCATGAACGGCCACATATTATGTGGTTCCATTCATGTGCAAGTCCAGAATAGGGAACTCTATAGTCACAGCAGAGCAGCAACTGCTGAGGGCTGAGGGACCTGGAGAGGCTTAGCTGGAAGAGGAGGGGGCGCTAGCTAAAGGTGTCTTTTTAAGGTGATGAAAATGTTCTAAAGCTAACTGTGGTGCTGGTTGCCCATATCTAAGAATATACTAAAAAATGTTGAATGTGCATGTTAAATGAGCAAGTTTTTTGGTGATATGAATTCTATCTAAACAAGGCTGTTTTTTCATTTAAAAAAAAAAAAATGAGGTCCTGGCCCAGGTCTGTACGTCTGCCCACACCTGGCAGAGACTATAGGCCTGGGGCAGGTCACTGCTGTGAGTAATGTCATGCAGTGGCAGAACACACGGCCATGGGGACTAGAACGGAGGGGCCCATTCGAGCCACAGGACTCCAGAAGCTCCCTAGGAGGAACGTCGGCAAGGCTGAATCCTGAAGGCCAGCAGGACCTTCCGGGGAAGGAAGTTGAGCAGGGGCCCTGGCAGAAGACTCATGAGAATCTGTGGTTCCACGGATGCACAGCCCTGTGCTGCGGGAGAGGGGAGGGTAGGAATCTCAATTCTCCCTGGAAACCTTGTCTTCCCAAGTATTTGGTTAAAGGAAGAATAAAAGAGAGGGAAGGCAGATTCCCTCACACTCCCTGTGAGCTGGGCTCCAGGCCTGACATCCATCCCTTTGAGACTTCAGTTCCAGCATTCCCTAGACCCCAGCGAATGTCTTCTGAACTGAAGAGGCCATCTGAAACTACCCTGTAAACACTATCCATCCAAATAGTGGGGGGCTCCCCAGCTCAGTCCTGGATGTGAGCTCATAGGCCTGGGCCTGTCCCCTCCAGGATGTCCACCAGGATTCCTCCCTCAGGAATACCCAACAGAGTCCCCATTCTCCCTTCCTCTCTCTCTACAGGAGGCAATGACTCAAGGCTGATGGGACAAAAGTGCCTCCTGGTGGTGGCCCAGCCGTTTGCATTCCATTCCACTCAGCAGGTATCTGGACTGCTCCTTCTGGGCAACCCTGCTCTGGGGGCTGGGATGGAGGAGGGGCCGGGATGGAGGAGGAACGGGTTCTGGCACCTGCCCTCTGCAAGAAGGGGAGACCTGTCTACACGAAACCAGAACTTTACTGTATCCATGAGGCTGGGCCAGAGAACTCAGATCCCAGCCCCTTCTGGAGATCTCCAGGGAGGAAGAGATGGGGAGCACAAAGAGGCATGGGGAGGCAGGAAAGACCCAGAACAAGCAGGTCTCCATGTTTCTTGTCTCCCAGGTCCTTGTCCCCTTTCCTGCCATAGCTCTCAAGGGCTCTCCTGGAGCCGCTGTGCTCCCAGCACCCCCTGGGCTGTCCTCTGCCTCTTCCCAGAGCCCTGCCTCACCCCAGCTTCGTCTGCGTCCCAGATCCACCCACTATTTCCACTCTCCCTGGGGCTTCCAGGGACCTGGAAGGAATCCTGGCAGGGAGCTGGATTACAGAAAGTGGCTTCAGAAATGGCCCCATGAGCGCAGAATGGGGAGCATAGGACTCTTGACTCTGGCAGAAGAAAGAGGGCTGGCCCCACCACCTAAGCACCAAGTGTGGAGTCAGCTCGCATGAGCACCAGGCAAGGTTATGGAAGCGAACCCACCTGCACGCCTACCAGGAGTGACATTTTCACTCTGGACAGGTGGCAGCTGTGTGGGCAACATGAAGAACTCAGATTAAACCTGGGGGGAAAAATCACCCTTCTCGGAAAAGAAGGGGACTGAACAAGAGGAGATCTTTACCCCCACTCAGTGTTTACTGCCCACAAATGTGCTCACCACTCCCAGAGGACAGAGGTGGTGGCACTGGGCAGGGGTGCGCCCAGCCTCCCCTTCCCACCCGTCTCCTGCGGGGACTCCTGAGCTTCCTTTCTCAACAGGAGCAGGCCGCAGGTCTCAGCATGTGCACTCCCCAGCCAGTGCCTCCCTCTGGCTCAAACTCATCCCCAGGCGAAGCGGAAGCACAGAAGGAGGCGACGAAAAAGGCGGCTTAGCAAAGCGTTCTGCGCATCCGGGCTTCCCCTCTCGTCCCCCTTCACACGCATACACACACGCCCAGTCCCAGCATGCTGGGCTCCCAGATCCTGCCTAGCCAAACAGAACCAACCAGCAGGGGCCCCTCCTTCTCCCCCACCTTCCCCCCTCCTCGTCAGCATTTCTCCCTCCTCCAACTCCACAGATAGCATCGCGATGACCCAGCAACCGCACACGGTAACAGGTAACACCACCGCGGGGTGCAGTCAGTAGATCTGCAGGATTACATGCGGGCTGACAGACGACAGCCAGGAGAAACTGTCATGGCAGCAAAACCTCTGCCCTCCCTCCAACTGCCGCTGCCTAACCAGGGTGAGGGTTGGGCTATGCACCGTCTGGTGAAATGATGCCTCACATCTGTAAACTGCTGATGGCAACAGCTCATCCCGGAACCGAGGTTACGCTTGACTGGCCCCAATTACCCCCACCCCGCGGCCTAGTCAGGGGTGAAGGAAGCTGAGACAGGGACAGCCCAGGAGTGGCTCACAGGTAGTAAATACCTCAGCTACTGGAGCAGGAGGTGGGGTACAGGGCAGGAACAGGGGCAAGAGACACTGGGAGGGTGGACGAGAGCCAGTGAGAATGGGGAACAGTTGCAACCACCAGGCGCGGCCTAGTGCGCATCCCAGACATCTTCGCCTTTAATCCACAAGGTCTAATTCTGTATTACGGGTGAGGAAACTGAGGTTTAGAGAGGTCGTTGTGTGCCACAGGGGGTAGTGTCTGCCTACCAGCTACCTACAATGGCCTGTGCTTGGGGACAAGAAGCCGACTGACTTTTAGAGGGTTTATTATTGGTTTAAAGGTCTTGGTAGACAAGCACTTACTGCCTGCTACATCAGAAGCCACCTTCCCACCCTCACTGCCCACTGTCCAAGGGCACATGCTGGAGGGTAGGACACTGGGCGCCAGACAGTGACTCTGCGTAACCCATCTGGACCACATGGGAGAGGTCGAGTGTGTCCTGGAGCCTCCCTGAGAGCACCAGACACGCGTGTGCCCCTGCTTCAGCCAGCTCAGACTAGATCGTGGTGAGAGGCCCCTGGGGGAGAGAGGGTGTCTCTCCCTGAAAAAAATGAATAAACAACAACAACAACTGGGATTAATCCCATGCCCATCTGACTCCAAAATCTATATCAAGCCTCTGCCCTCATTGGTATTATCTGTGCCATCTCTCCTGTGCCTTTCCCTCTTCTCCTTCTACAAGGGTCCTCTGGTCCCCGTCCACTGTCATCTCCTGGGTCATTCTTGTCCATTTTGGAGTCTTCCTAAAGTAGCTGCAAAACCAAACGCCCTAATTCCTTTTCTTTACACCCCTTGCTCCTTTCTCCTCTGAGTCTGGACTGTGTATTCCTTCATTCAAGAACACTGATTCCATGCCTGCCATGTGCCCCACCCTGCTGAGCATGCGGGCGCAGCACCGTCCTGCCTCCTGCACTGACGCTCCAGCTGGGCAGATGGACGGTCACTGGCACTGTCATGCAGGAGACCACGTGATGACCAACACTAAGGAGAGAGGAAGGGGGGTGGCGAC